GTTTTGGATCTTTTGTTCATATTTTTCCATTATTACCTTTATCTAGCTAATAAATACACTACGTCTTTTCATATTTACTCTTCATCTTTTTTCAAAACATTCATCTTTATCTTCATTAATGAGGGTTATTATTGCCAAAAAAAATATCCTTAATTATTGTGCAACTTCTCAAAACGACACTTATTAAAAAAAAGAGTGAGTATATAAATTAGAGTAAGTGGGAAACATGCGGGACCCATTAAGAAGGTTTATAAGGTTTATGATTATTGGAGGTTTGTGATATTGGAAGTAAGAATGAGGTTTGGATGACGTGGAGTATTGGGAATGTAAAAAGAAGGTTTATAAACCTAGTATGATTAAAGATGCTTACTACTACACATATAAACCTCCAATAATAACAAACCTCATAAACCTCTTTTTTATGAGTCCCACATGTTTTCCACTTATTTTTATAATTAATATTATACTCTTATTTTTAATTAATATTTTAAAACTATAACTTCAATTTTATTTTTATATAAACTAAATGTTTCACATATTTATCATAAATACTTACATATTACAACAATTATAATTATGAATATATTAAATAATGATTCACTATAAAACTATATTTCTTAATTTTAAATACAAATTTTATTTATATTTATACTTTCTCAATTAATAAGTGAACTCAAAATAATTAATGAAGACAACAATAAAATTTTGCATATATACAACTAGTCAATATAAAAAATTAACCCATAAATTAAAAAAAAAATATAAAACATCAAACAATAAAAGAAACTTAATATATCTATATTCATATAAAAAGGGATCCTATTTAATATAAATAGTATCCAGAAAAATCAACTGCAACTAATGCCATTACTATTTCCAACAATTATTTTATTTAATTACTTTATTTATTTGTTTTATATCCCAAAAAATCCCAAAAAAATCGTTTCCTGCAATTAATGTCATTATTTTTTTCTTTCCAGTTTTTTAGATAATCATAACCGCGTTTTAAAAATAATTCCATATAGTACCTCCTTATATTTTGACAATTTATTCACGCGTCAATTTTCTTTCCTGTTTTTTAGGGAATGAAATCCCGTACAAAGCAAAATGACTATAAAGCCGGGTGAAATCCGGTTATTATAATATTTTCTATTTTGATTGGCATATTTCCTAAGAAATTACCCTTAAAGCGGGTGAGTACAAAGCAAAAAAACACATCTTATTTTTTTAGTATAACATATTCTCACTAGATAACTTTGGAATCACTATCATAATTAATCAAATAGTTAACCTATAATATTATCCCAATTAATTGCTACAGAAATAAAATTCGTTAACTTATGTTTGGTGATTAAATTGTGATTATTTAATATCGCCAAAACAGTATCAGATTTTATTTGTTTTATGTTCCAAAATTAAATGTAAGACTACACAAATAATTGATTTACTTTACACATATTATTCCAATTAATTGTTATAGAAATTAAAATTCTTTAATCGGATATCATTAAATAAATTGATTTATTTTTTATTCATTGTCATGATCATTCAGGGAAATTGAAAGTTCAATTTCTTAATAAGTGAGATTTTATTTCTAATGGTTGTCGGGATTCATTTTTTATGATAAGTCATCACACGATTTTTTAAGACTGAATGTTATCATGCTTTGAAATTGAACATTCCAATATACCATAACAAAATATACACGTGTTGTTTACATCAGTTAATAGATTCCTCATATTTTTATATTGTATGTGATTTTTCTATTACCAAGTTTAATTGATATATTTTGTACTGTTATGGGTTTTTCATAATTGTTACTTGGTTTTTGTGATATTTAGTTTGGTTGGTGTCGCAAAAATTCTAATATATATGTATAAATATAATAAGTAAAATCATTATAATGCAAATTAGAAAAATCTTGATTATAGAATAGATTGAGTTCTTGGCATTTGCTAAATCAAAGTTGTTTAATTTGTATACAAATTAAATTATAAAAAAAAAATATATGTATACACTATTTAATTTTAAATTTATTTACATATTTTAAATTGATTACATAAATAAATAATACCAACGTGCATTAAATATTTTTTATTACATAATAAAAAAACAAGAAGAAGACGTGCAACTTCTATAACTCTTATAAATAATAATGATATTATATGACAACATGTTTTATAATAAAATAATAATTAACTATTATATAGTGAACAAGAATAAATAAAATTGATATTTTCTCTTATATCAAGGAATAAATATATATAATAAAACCAAATTTATATTAGTATAAATGTGTTAGTGAGATAATATATTAATTATTTTACAAGCTAGCCACATGCTCACGTTCAATGTTCTGACTAATAAAAAAACGCTGATTAAAAGAGGTGAAAAATAAATTATAACCCTATTTTTTTAGACATAACGGTGATTACAAAAGGTAGAAAATGGATGATAACCCTATTGGTTTTCAGACTTAAACGGACAGAACATTTGAAAATAATTCGTTTAATATCTTTGTCCCGTGCATCGCACAGGGTACGTAGTAGTATGTTACAGAATGTGCAATCGAGCAATTGTCGAGCCAATAAATACAAGAGAAATCACTACAAGAATAATTCAAAGACAAGCTGTACGAAACCACTACATACATGGACAAGCAAATAGAGCTCAAGTATATCGCTACAGAGGAGCAACTAGCGGATACCTTCACAAAGGCTTTTACCGCAACTAAGATGGTTGAACCAAACAGGGCCTAACAGATTCGCAACTTATAGTTTTATGGCATAAAAAAAATAGTATAGAAAAAATTGGGAATTAAATACTTATTTAAATTAGTAATTTTTTTAAATAAATCAAAATATACATATATAGTTATATATAACTGCCAAAAATTTGAATTAAAAAATAAAATTTGTATCCGTATTTTTAAATTAGTAACTTTTAAAATAAATTAAATTTATATATATTCATATATAATCAATAAAAGAAGTGAATGAAAAATATATTTATGTAGCCGCTTTTTTAAGAATTCTCGTTTTTTATAGGAAAACACTAATATTCTTCCATAATAATCTTTTTTTTTTTTTATATAGAAAATGAAAAGACTAATTATTTTTCCTTTTGTATGTCAGTTGGTAAAGGCTTGAATAATTCTAATTATTTCTTTTCATACTCTTTATTTTTTTAACTAATAAAAAATTATCTTAATTGAGAATATTTGTAATTATGCACAGCTCAACATATGATATAGATTTGATCTATGATTTTTTATATAAAAAAGAGAATCGTTGATTATTTTCGGGCCGAGCCGGACCCAAATTTTCGACCGTCCTAAAAAAAACGTTAATTTTTCACAGGTCGACCCGACCCGACCGACCCAGATGTAGGCCTGACTCTCCGAGTCATATATTCAAAATGATCGACCCGGATCAGGTTTGGTTAAAATCCAGACCGAGCCCAAACTCGTGGCCAATGGGTATGACCGGGCCAGGTTCGTGCCGGTTCTGAGTTGAATCCGAGCCTGGTCTTGTCTTAGTTGGAAGCAAGTTAAAGTCAAGCTCCAATCCACAAATTTTTTTCTAAGTTCATGCCCGAATTCAAGCTCGGCTCCACTCCACAAAAATTTTCAAGTGCTCAAGATAGAATCAAAATCGAGTTTGACTCGAATTTCAAATACAACCTTTCTGTTTAAAAATATTTTTTTCTCAAACTTAGACTCGAATTGAGCTTGTGTTATAAGTAAATAGGTTAATTATATTTATTATTGTTGGAAATTTGGCCCAAATCTCAGGCCCAAGGAAGCCCCAGCCCAAATCCTGTCTGGGCCTGGCCCTCACTTACTCGAATTAATCCATACCGTTGGATTAAGGGGTTTAATCCCAGCCACTCACTCACACTATATAAACCTATCTCTATCTCTCCGCCTATGACACAGACGATACACACTCTGCTCTCTTCTCTCACACACAGGCCCTCTCCCATTTCTCTCTCTGTGAAAGAAACGTGATTTCTACCTCTGTACCTTCTTCGTGACCTTTGCCGAGAGAACCATCGTCTTGTCGCTGTGAGTGTTGCCGTCTTCAAGCCCTTGTGCCGTCATTGTCGCTCTGCTCAACCCGCCGGTCAAAGTCCTTGTGTAGGGCCTCCGGCGAATCTCTTAGAGAGAGGAGGGGCATTGCGACAGAGGATCGGGTGCGGGGCTCGTGAGTGAGGTGCAGCCCGGGGTGCGGGCTGAGGAACCGGGGCTACTGTTTGTTGGCCACCGCCGAGCCGCTACTTACCGAGGGTGCCGGGCTCAAGGGCTATCTGAGCCGGGAGAGCTGACTTCGTGTCCCTCTCCTTCAGTCGTCGTCGAAAAGAAGAAAACGGGCCTGAAAGAAGCTGATTGAATCAGCCCGGGAGCTCGGACAGCAGTTCGGGAGCCAACTGTAGACGAGCAGTAGCACCTGGAAGTCGAGAGGGCTAACAAGCGGCCTGTAGAGCTCAAGATAAGCTTCTGCTGCCAATGAGTCGAGCGGTTGAGTCGGGACGGCCACACAACAATTATCATGCAACTGGTTGAGTACTCAAACTTATAACATACATATTCGATTCAAATCTGAGGTGCTCAAACTAACCTTTGCCTTAAAGTGTCACTAGTTGCCTTAAAGTCGATCTAGTTATTAGAAGTATCGACCCACTAGAATTTTTTAAACAAAAATATATGTATTAAATTATCACAAATAGTTCATGTTATGTTTTTTGAAAAAGAAAAAAAAAAATATGGCTCTTGTACAAGTAATTAGAAGTGACTAAAAGAGAATCGATCTCCAAAGTTCCCATATATACATGTAGTTAACTGGGCTAATTATACAAGAGTCACCCCTCAAAACTTCGTACTATAATTAATTTGCAGGATTAACTCAAAAAACACACACACACGAGAGAGAAAAGAGTTCATAAATAAACAATTTACAACAGCTCGTGAGTCTTCAAACAGAAACCACGGCCGAGAACCCTTACTCCTCCCTCAAAATCCTCTGCTGCCTCGCGATAAACGCCTCCACCGTCCGCCGGAACTCCTCGCCGCTCATCTCATCCTCCGCCAACGAACAACCGCCGCCGCCACCGCCGCCCGCCGTCCTTCTCCCTCCGTCGCCGCCGCTTTCCCGGCACCTATCGCTCGAGCTCCGCCGCAGATCCCTCCGCACCTCCTCCCTTCGGCCCGCCGCCCTCCCAACGATCTCGGATCCGCACCTGTTCATCTTNCGCCCGCCGTTCTTCTCCCGCCGTCGCCGCCGATTTCCCGGCACCTCTCGCTCGCGCTCCGCCGCAGATCCCTCCGCACCTCGTCCACTCGCCCCGCCGCCTTCCCAACCATCTCAGATTCGCACCTGTTCATCTCTCTCCCCGCGCCGACTACGCCATAACCGCACGCGCCGCCCGGTCCTCTCCTCTCCTTCTCCCCAATTTTCCGCCGATCGCCGCCGCGAGATCTCCCCACGTACTCGTCGTAGAAATCGACGAGCTTCCCGCCGCTGTCCGGGGAGAATCGGCCGGACGTCAGGAGGAGGACGACCACAATCGCGTTCCCGGCCAGGAACACGAAGCGATGGCTGGTTAGCGCGGCCGGAATTCCGTTGAACCACGCGCCTGACAGATTTGGGGAAAAGGCGTACTGAGTCGAAAATCTGGAAGTGATTATGAGGAAAATCAACAGCTCAGCAAAACGGAACAAGGCCGTGATTCGCTGCATCCTCCGCCGCCTCAAGATCGCGTTAGCCTTTTCAGCTTTTGTGTCGTGAAAATCGATTGAATTCATTTTTTCTTTTTTTACAATGAATATTTTCTCTTGAATTTGATTATCAACTTTGGATTTCCTTTGATCGATGTAACGACGTCGTTTTCATAAAAGTTTGATTTGGTGGTATGACATTTTGGCTCGATCTCTAAGCTTGAAGAGAGAGCAGAGAGAGATGGTGCTTATAATCATGGTGGTGCAGAATGATGCTTTTGATTTTGAGTAGGAGTTTTTGAGCGTGCACAACTATTTATAAACTCTAAAAAATAAGTTGTTTAAAAGATAAAATGTTAATAATAATTTAAAAGAGGTCCCTGTCTTTTTCTTGCTTTATTTTATTTATTTATTTTGGCATGTTTTTTCTTTTAACTTTGATTAGGGGACCAGTGTCTTTTTGGTGAGTGGTTAATATATTGCAATGAAACTCGGTTAAACGGATTAAGCAAATTAAGTGTGAGGAACTCGTGTCAAGTGCAGTAATTAAAACTCACAAATTATTGTATGAGTGGAGGACCTATTGTACAATTTTTATGTACAAGTAGAAGTATCCATGTTATATTTCAATTTGAAAATAAAAAAGTATGGTCAATTTGCTCGTTAAGTCGTCTACTTCAACTTTTTATAATATGATATTTTTAATTTAAAAGTATGAAGATACATTATCGTTATTAAATATGTCTAACACCAACTTTAAAACATGTTCAGCTACAAATATTAGTGTACGAACAAATTAATCAAGTATGAGGAAACTACTAAATAATTTAAATTTATAAATTTGAGGTCAAATTGAGACATTTTAAATGTTACAACTTGAATTTATAGATATGATTAGGGGTGCAGAAGAGCCGAGTTGAATCGAACATTGTTCTTATTAAGGTAGATCCAATTTTTTTGGGTGTTATTCGTGGGTCGATGAACCATACATTTATAGGCTAAATTGGAGTTGATAATAAAATGCAAATGCTCGTGATCAACTTGAAATTTCAATAAATAATCTAGTTAGGGGTATAAGGTAGGCCTATATGTATTCAATTTGCTCATTGAGCACTCCAACTTACAATTTAAGATGCTCGAGCTTGCACTACCCATCCGCTCTACTTGCTTGTAACCCTAGATGTGAGGATTGAAGTTGAGACTTTTTATCTAAAAAAAATATTATATTTGGTTCACTTCGCTTCGTTCGTTCCCTCTCCTTTCAGTCGAGTCAATTTCATCGAACCTCATTTCGGGATGCTTATATGTCAGATAGTGTTCATCAATCAATTCAATACATGAGTGGCACTTAGCTCTTCATCTTGTGAACAAAAGAAGAGTAGCTCAATTCAATCTACTCCCCTCGTAGGCCAGGAGGGGGAGAAGAGCAAAAAGGATGCATCTTGCAGCAAGAAGATCAGTCCAAGAATGTTAGAGAAAACGGTAAAAACTTCTTTTCTTTCTGTTTTTACCAGCTGGCCCTAGCCGAATGTTCTGGCTCCCGATAATCGAATGGGTGTCAATTTTCATTTTAAATATCTTATGCTTATATTTTTTTGGTTTTGTTACATTTCATTTTCATGGAAGGGAAATTTGTGGTGGTATTATTGCCTTTTGGGGTACATATCCATTTCCCCCATAATAGAAATCCAGCTTGAGGTTATGCAACATCTCAAATAATGTACTTTCGATTAGATAAGGGGAAAAATTCAAAATTAGTCCCACAGATATAGGGGGGTGACAATTTTGGTCCCGACGGAATGCACTAAATATGAATAGTCCCACAACTTTTAAAAAATAATCAAAAGTATTACTTTTTCGCCGGATTTACTATTTCCGGCCCAGAACACCACGTGGCTTATTTTTTACACGTTGGCGCACACGTGGCTTAGTTTTGAATTTTTTCCTAGATAGGGAAAAATTCAAAACTAGTCCCACAAGTATAGAGGAGTGACATTTTTGGTCCCGATGGAATGCAGAAAATTCAAAACTAGTCCCACAACTTGTAAAAAAATATGAACACGTCGGATGTCACGTGGCGTTCCGGGCCGGAAATAGTAAATCCGGAGAAAAAGTCCTACTTTTGATCATTTTTTAAAAGTTGTGGGACTATTCATATTTTCTGCATTCCGTCGGGACCAAAATTGTCACCCCCTATACTTGTGGGACTAGTTTTGAAATTTTCCCATCTATACTTATATAATAAGGTGTACCATTTACGAAATTTAGTAAGTTGAAAAGTCAATGCAATAAATGCATTATTATTTTGAGCAACATAATATAATATCATATCTATACTTATATAAAAGGAGATTCCAACATAATATAATATCATATCTATACTTATATAAAAGGAGATTCTATTTACTACATTTACTATCCAGAAAAGTCAACTGCATTAAATGCCATTACTATTTTGGTATTATAATATTTTATTTATTTAATTAATTTATTTATTTGTTTTATTTTAAAAAGGTAAGTATAATAAAATGATTTTAATAATAAAAAAATCAAATACCAAATAAAAATGTACACTTTGACTTATTTGATTATATTTGGTATTTGATTATACCAAATATATTCATATTTAGTATATACATTAAATACTTAATAAAGTATTTATTTGTTTTATTTGTCGAAGTTAAGTATAGATTGTTTATATTATCAAATCATAAAAAAAATTAAATCCATATTGTAAAAAAAAAAATCATATAATTTTATTACAATTCTACTACACTATTTAACAATTTTTTTTATTATATAATAAAATAATAATTAAATATTATATGGTGAACAAAAATAAGTAAAACTGTTATTTTTTCTTATATCAAGGGATAAATTTATATGCTAAAATTAAATTTTTATTAGTATAATGTTTTAGTGAGATAATATATTAATTATTTTACAAGCTAGCCCTAACATGCTCATATTTAATGTTTTAAAAGATGTAGAAAAAAACTTATAATAACTCTATTGTTTTTTAGACTTAAACGTTGATTAAAAGAGGTAAAAATTCCTAATTTTTTAGACTTAAATGTTGATTAACACCATAGATTGAGAGTCTATATTTAGTAAAATTCTTAATTGTAATAAAAAAATTAATTTTTGCTATATTTTAGAATATCTTTAAATTCATTATAAAAAAAAAAGAAAAATAAACTACAATGAAAAAAACAAGTCAGCTATATATCGATTTGTTGTACTCCTCAAATCACATTCACAATAGGAAACTCATTGATTAAAATATTATTTTGTCAGTAGTCTTAATGTACAAGAGACTTTAAGACTCCACTTGAATATTATAACACTTTTATTGAACATTGTACAATTTTCTTGCGTAATATAAACTTTTATTGAATATTGCATCTTATAATATAATATTCTCCAAATAAATATATCTCGTGCTTCGCATGGGTCACGTACTATATATATCCCGTATATTTTTCTTTATTCATGTATATAATTATAAGCCTGAATAAATAGTCTTAAAATTGTGCACCCCGTGCATCGCACGAGCTCTGTACTAGTTAGATAAGTATAGAATAATTACTATGCTTCTATTGAGGGGAAATGATAGTGGAAAAGCAACCTCAATTACAATAATCATTTAACCTAATAAAGAGGACATAGGCAGAATTGTGTGTTCTAATGGTCTTTAAATATTGCCATTTGAAAAGATGGTGAAAAGTTCGAAAAAGGATTGGAAAAAGTAAGATTAGAGTGGTATAAATTGTTAAACTACATTATAATCTTATGAAATTTTAACACGTTAACTACAATAATTAGGCTAATAAATCCAAAAAAAAAAAAGTTGACTTCTTTAAAGTGTGCAATTTTAACTAACTAATTTTCTTTATCACGACTCACGAGAGCTTTGTGCCATTGTTCACCTATTACAAGGCAATATATCTACGAATTTATTTGGATATGCACACCAAAAGGTACCAAATAATTGAATCTGCCTTTCTATTGAACTTGTATATATAAAAGTAACCATACATATGGTGTATGGATATTGGGGCAAGGCAAGATATTTAACTTTCAAACGAAATGAATTGCTAGACATGAGTTTGTTTCAACCCGATTCCACTCGTAAACTTAACTCAGACTCGTTCAAAATTTGTTTAGTAAACGAGTCTCAATTTCGTCAAAATTCGAATTCGACTTGACTTGACTCGATAAAGTTTCGAGCTCAAATTCAAACTAGACTTGTTTAAACCTCCTAATTACATACAACCCTTAATTCATTCACAAATATTTTCTTTCACGAATTGATTTTAAAACAGTTAAAAAAAATATTTTGAAATGTAATTTCAATAAGTTTTGATCATTAATAATAAGATCAATCATTAACATAGTTCACACTCCTGAAAAAAAAAATAATAAATAAATAAAACATTCTCAATTAATTCGTTATAAAGGATACTGTTTTGAAATATAAATTCCTTCTTGATATTTCCTTCAGAAATTGAACGTAAAAGTATGAAGGGATTTTTTCGGAAGCAAAAACTTGAGATAATTTTTGTGAATTTTTTTAATTATGAACAGTAATACAGAAATACAACTAAAAAATAACATAAGACATATAATAACTATGCATAATGTAAAATTTTTTGTTTTTCCTTATGACAAACATTGTACTTTGTTTTCAACACTTTATATACCTTTTATTCTTTTTAAATGTCATTTTGATTTTATCAATCATTAACTAAATAAATAACATTTTGGATCTTTTGTTCATATTTTTTCATTACTACCCTCATTTAGCTAATAAATACACTATACATTTTCATATTAACTCTTCATCTTTTCTCAAAACATCCATCTCTAACTTCATTAAAGATGGTTATTATTTGACAAAAAAAATAAAATTATTAATTATAGTGCAATTTCTCAAAACGACACTTACATATTATGAATAGGAGGGAGTATTATATTATACTAATAGTTAAACATTTTTTTTCTTAAGTAACCTAATGATTATAATAGGATAGTCAAACTCTTTAAAATTGAAGAAGCAAACGTTATAACAGTAAATTTAATATTTT